CATTTTAGAATGGAAAATAATCCAAGAAATTTGAGGTGGATTACCTAATTATTTTTTTCCAGCCCAAATTTTAAGGTGCTAAAACATAGGCATATGTTTTGTTTTTTAAAATATTTCCAAAAGAAAGTCTCAGAAATCAAAAAGACATTAGAGAAATGCATTATCTAAAAATTATGATCATTATTTTGCTTTATGAAATCACCAGTCTATAGGAGAAATGTGTTTAGAAGTCATTAACACCGTCGGTTCTCTGAGTAGAATCATGGAATGCTATTTTGAAAAAGAATAATACATATTCATACATATGCACACACACTTTTTTTTTTTTTTTTTAAGGGGGCTTCATAATTTTTGGCAGCAGAAAAAGGGAATAGCAAGCATCAAAGCCTGAAGTAAGAAGAAAGCTAGTCATGGTTTTCAGGCAAAGGAGAAAGGACATTTCCCAGGGTACCTTTAATTTGATTTGGAGCAGTTGGAGTGAGGAGCATTGGGTTCTCACTAAACTACCTGCATTATCTGCTTACACTGAGCAATAACACCGCCTGTTCCTAATGAGCTATGTAGACATATTTCTAACCCCATAATATAGACCCCACCACCACTTACTTTTGAAATAATTTGTAACTTTCTTTTTTATATAAAAAGAAATAATTTTTTGTTTTTGAAATACACCGTTAAGAAATACATTTCCCCTTGGGAAATACACCGTGTTTCCAATCACATTCTTCATAAAGAGAGTCTTTAAATGGAGTATGAACCCATCATTCATTTGACAACTATTTTTATCTACTAAGTGTCAGGCACTATTCTAGGAGCACCGATGAAGAAAAGAAACAATATCCTTGCCCTGGGTTAGAGCGATTCTTTGATTCTTTCTGAAAGGGGAAATTAATCAAGGCAGGGATGGTGTGGGGGGGATAAAATAAAATCCTGTAGTTTTCCGGTTATCCACCAGGTGGCGAAATGGGCAAAACTGATAGCTTAATATGGATCAAAATTTGGTGCAAAGAATAGAGTATTTCTATGAAAATTTCCACCACATTTTGTTTAAAATGCCTCTTTGGTAACACTACAGTTAATAGCTCATGGTTATAATGCATTTTGTGTTCAGTTTCCTAAAGCATTCCTTGCGAGGGACTCACCCCTTTAAGAAGAGAAGAGTCAGCTGCATTTGCCAGAGGCCTCTCTGGAAGATCCCAAGCTTATCTTAAGAAATTTTGCTTTTACCCTCCCATTGCTCTCTGTCCCCCATGGTGTGGGGATAATAGAAATCTGTCTAACAGACTGAACATCTGGCTTTGCATGGGCCTCCATTGAAGCTGAGAGTCTACTATATTCAAATTCATGGTAAAGACACTTACCCGAAAATAAGACAGTGTCTTATATTAATTTTTTCTCCCAAAGTTGCGCTAGATCTTATTTTCGGAGGATGTCTTATTTTCTGGGGAAACACAGTAGGTATCACACTGCGATTTGCTTGTATTGTCCCAAAGAATAACATCTTAGAATAACATCCATACTGAAAAGTAGCCAAACATATATGACAATGTATACATACATAGAATCGTATCTATATTTCGTTTCCAGACTCCCTTTAAGTGCAACCTCTCATTTACATTGAAGGAATAAAATTATTTATTCAGATATCTTTGGAATAGAATATATTCTAAAATAAAATTAGGCCGAAACCAGTTTGGCTCAATGGATAGAGCATCGGCTTGGGGACTGAAAGGTCCCAGGTTCGATTCCAGTCAATGGCATGTACCTTGGTTGCGGGTATATCCCCAATAGGGGGTGTGCAAGAGGCAGCTGATCGATGACTCTCTCTCATCGATGTTTCTAACTATCTCTCTCCCTTCCTCTCTGTACAAAATCAATAAAATATATTTTTTTAAAAAATAAATAAAATAAAATAAAATAAAATTAGACCTTTATTTACCTTCAGACTCCCAAAGAAGTAAAAAAAAAAAAAAAAAAAAAAAAAAAGTATTTCATTCTTAGAAAATGGTTTATATAGGATGTAGAAATACTTTTAGAGTGGTTTAAAGGTAGAGTTTGAGATTTTTCCTAATTTCTTACTACCACCACCAGGCCCTACAAGATATGACCTCTGCCTTCTTCTCTAAAACTCACCTGCCATTCATTCATTCATGCATTCCTCAAATATTGACTGACTTTTTCTTGTTTCAGTGGCTCCATTAAGGTACTTGGAATAGAGAAGTGAATAAGACAGTGTATTTCTTTATGAAGCTTACATTCTATTGTACATGGACCAACTTTGTTTTTGCCTCATGGCCTTTGCATTTGCTGCTTTCCTCGCTTGGAAACACCCTGACCCATATCTTCTCAGTGATGGATATATTTAGACACATGCATATCCAGGACTCACTAGCCTGTGACCCCTAAACAAAGTCACGTTTATCTCCTCAAAGTGTACTTGTGAAGACTAAATGAGTTAAGGAATACAAAGCCTTTAGCAGAGTAACCTTAATAGCAGAGTAAGATAAAGATTATCTATTATTTTGATGTTATTAATTATTGCCAATGAAATATTCCTACGATCTTTCCAGAGATTTCTGAGACTCAGTTCCTTGTCATATTGACCAAACTACAAAATGAGAGTTCTAACTTGCAGAATCTATTTCCAAGATGCTGAAAGATTATTTCCTGCCAGGGCCAGAGCGCTGCTGTGCAGTGTGGTACAAATATCCCTGGCTTACCAGTATGGTTTTTATCATGGATGCCAATTAGAAAATAATTTAGAGATGCTTTTGATTGAAAACAAATTTTGACCCTTTGCTGCATTTACATTTCCACTGCAAAGTGTTTAAACTTTTATTATTGCATTTATCACATTGTATTATAGTCATGGGTAGGGCGACCATACTTCCTAGTTTATGCCTGTTGTCTTGAAGTACCATCTGGTTTAGCATTTTAGCACTTTCAGAAGTGTCCTGGTGTAGACAATAAACTCTGTAGTCCCCCAAGTTATGGGGCAGGTGCCTGGCTGGAGAGGCTCAGGACCACTGGGGTGGTCCTAAATCCCGTGTGGGCCTTTGTGAGGAATTGGTGAGTCTGGTTACTCTGAGCTGTCTGGCTGATTTGCATGCAGAGAAGGGCTCTGAGGAGAAATGTAGGCCCTAAAAGCTAAAGGCAGAGTCAGTGGAGGAAAGTCAGGAGGGCCTCAAAGACAATGGCTAGGCCCTGAAAGAGAGGGTTCCTCTTCCCATTTCTGGTGAGAAAACATATGTCTGGACAAGGAGACTTACAGAGAACAGCACCACTTTGGCTCATGTAGAGCTCGTAGTTGTAATAAGTATATTAGGGGTAGCATCCTGGTCAAGGCAATGGGATATACAATATCCCAGAAGATGCTTTGCAACCCTAAACCTCAGTGAGGTTGTAGTTGTGAAGACAACTAAACCAGAGTGCCTTAAGGACTCAGACATATTCAGGTGGGAGGCGAGGGCTGATTCACATGTATCTTAATCGGTGCAATGTTTAATTTGGTTTGGCATAATTTTAGTTTTGGGCACTTCGATTATGGAGTCAATTACACTCTACCCATTTGAAAAATATTGGATAAGTAGGATGCCTCAAGTCCTGGCAAGAGGATTCTTTTCTAAACAGAGAGTTATTATGAAAAATTCTTTAAATTGAAACACAGTATATTTTTATATCTAAGATATGTTATTAAAGGACTTTAAGATTTTTTTTTTGAATATTTGGTTTGAGAACCCTTGTTAATCAATCTGTGAATTCAACAAATACTTATTTAGACTTCTCTATTTGAAGTGCACTGTGCTATTTGAAGTGATCATGACATTGTCAATATACATAGCTATTCCGGTGGTTTATTCTATCATTTTATACTGAGGACTCTACCAAAATGTTAGCTTTTATTGCCAATCTCTGCTCTATACTATTGTACATTTTTTAACTGACTGACTGACTGACTAACTGCAGAATATCACGTGATTGTCCTATTTGTACTTTAAATTTAACTGACCAGAGGGGAATTCATTCTCTCCCACTCAGATCCTCTCTCTTATCACTTTATTCCCAACCCAAGCAAACTTGTCCTTCACTTGTGTTCCCTCTCTCTCTAATGGCACCTTCTTCAGACTATTTAGAGTAATTTTTAACTCTTTAATCTTTATGTCCAACAGCCAGTACTTTGCCAGAACGGATTATCTCCAGAATGTGTCTCACATCTTCCTTCTATCATTTCCACTCCCAATGTTAACGTTCAAGATTTCGATCATTCTTCACTTACATAATTACAGTAGCCTCTTCAGTGATTTCCTTATGTTACATTCACTTGCATTTCTACTTTATGTTTTAGATTGGCTTTAGAAAGACCTTCCTAAATCACGGTCAGAAACAATGCCTTTCTCCATGACAGTCTCCGATCGCCTATTAAAAACAGAGTACCAGCTCTCCATGTTGGCAGATTCTTGCTCTAACCTATATTTTTCAGTCCTTTTCCCCACTAAATGATTGCTATGACCTTACCCTTGAACTCCAGAAGATCAGTCACTGTTCTATTACCCTCATCCACCTTTCTGCTTCCATGCCTTTGATCAGGCTATTCTCCCACCAAGTAATACCCCTATTAAAATAACATTCACCCTTTCGGAGTCAGCTATCCAGTATTAGTTGCTCATTCTCTTATTTCTAAAACACTTTTTAAAAAGATCTTCTAACACATTTTCTTCTGCTTTTCATTAAGGTTAGTAATATACAAAATTGTACTTGTGGCTCTGCCTCTCTTAAGCTCTGTAGGTGGTCATGTGACCAAGACACATCTCTTCTCCAGACCTTCTCTATGTTGTGGTGATATATAGAGAGCATTATAGAACTGTATGTGATTATGGTTGCCTTCCTCCCACTGAAGCCCTTGACAACAGGGAGCAGTTTTCTTTATTTTTGTCGTTTTCACAGCACCTAGTTAATTCTTTCCTTGCATAAAATGAGCCTTTTTTTTTTTTTTTTTTTTTTTTAATATGGAACACTTCACAAATTTGGGTGTCATCCTTGTGCAGGGGCCGTGCTAATATCTGTATCATTCCAATTTTAGTATATGTGCTGCCCAAGCAAGTACAAAATGAGCCATCTTTGAATGTTTGTTTGCATATTTTAAAAAATATATTTTTATTTAATTTTTAATTTTTTATTTTTTAGAGAGAAAGAGAAGGAGAGGGAGAGGGAGGAGAGGGAGAGGGAGAGGGAGAGGGAGAAAGAGAGGAACACCTGTGAAAGAGAAATATCAATTGGCTGCCTCCTGCATGCTTTCTACTGGGGATCAGAGCCCTCAACATGAGCATGTGTCCTGACCGAGAATTGAATCTGTGATCTCTTGAGGCATAGATTGATGCTCAAACACTGAATCAAACCTGCCAGGCTGAATATTTAAATTAAAACTTCACCATAATGAAAAATACTGCTCTAAATTCAGGTCATGTTATTTGGTGGCTATCATGAACTTGATTATGTAAGAAGTGAGATTTTTCCTTAAACGGTGAGAAAAGCACAAAATTCATCAGAGTGATTTTAGGAGATCAGGCCACGCTTATAATGTGATAGGCTATATAAAGGCTTTAAATGCATCAATGTAATAATAATTGAAAATATTAGAAACATTCTGAGTCAATGAAAATGGGAGGCAACAGGTGAGAGGCCAAGCAAACATTGTTCTACTTAACAGTATAAAATAAAGAGAAACACGGAAGCAAATACTGGCAAAACTTGCTAAAAAGTGACATTAGCTATTACATTTTAAATATGCAAAATCATCTCTATTGAGACAGAGATGCATTTGGTTCTTTCAGTCTGAGACAAAACATAGCATTTGATTCAGGCAACTTCCCCTGCTTTGATTTCAAAATCATTAGTCAACTTTCTGTTGGCTGCTGAAGAGAGAGAACGATCACATTCATAAATTATTGCTGTAACATTTCCTTTATTTCTGAATTTTAAAAAAATCAATGCTTTGAAAAATACATTTGCTTTAAGTGTATTGGCAAAACCAGGTTTCTGAGACTAATAAGACCCAGAACCAACACAACTTCAACACTTCAGCATTCAATAAATGCTCCCCTAAGAGCTGTTAGAGGGCCACGGAGTTCACCTAATCCCGTGGTTGGCAAACTGTGGCTCTTTGGCCCCTTGAATGTGGCTCTTCTACAAAATACCATGGCTTGGGCGGGTCTATTTCGAAGAAGTGGTGTTAGAAGAAGTTTAAGTTTAAAAAATTTGGCTCTCAAAAGAAATTTCAATTGTTATACCGTTGATATTTGGCTCTGTTAACTAATGAGTTTGCTGACCACTGACCTAATCCAACAGAAGCTGAGCCTCATTCAAGAATTTTTTCCTCTTGCTTATTAATGACAATGGCCATAATCTTCGTTAGATGGCATTTTGGAAAATACTATGTATTATTTTCTTTGTTCCCAGGTTAAGGGACAGAAATCTCCAAAGTGAAATAAAACTAAAGGTGAATACTTTCATGAACACAATTTCATTATTATTATTTTTTTCTTTTTTGAGGGGGAGATCCGTATTGCAGCACCTAAATTGTAATCATGTTAAAATTCATACACATTGAAAATAGTCTACGTAATTTCTCAGAATTTTAGGAATACAATATACTATTTGAAGGCTTCAGGACTGAAAATGACATTGGCTTTGGAAGAAACTCACAGCAGGGCTATGTCCTGGGGGACAGTTGTGCTGGCATATCCACAGCTGCTCAGTTTTTCTCCTTTTGTTCTCCTCTCAGTAAGAGCAGCAGCTCTGGTCAACTTTTCTAGGCCCCTTCACTTCTCTGTGCTCTCTCAGGCTGCTAATCATATCGTTGATTATTTTTAAATGTTAAGTACATGAGTAAGTAAAAATGAGGTATATTAAATCAGTTCAGAAACTTATAGCTTAATCTGAAAATTGATTATAAAAATAGGTCATGCTAAATGGTTCAAAAAGCCTTTTCCAAAGTGAAAAAATGGTTTCATTTTTTTAAGAAAAGCTTCATCTTAATTCTTTAAGTAAGAAAAAAAAAAACAAAAACAACAACAACAAAAAAAAGCAGAAAGTAATTTGAGATCCTAAAGTTACTTTGTTTAATTTTTAAAATAAATTAAGGGAGGAGGGACTTGGTAAAGATTTTGTCTTTAGTCCCCTTTGGAAAAACATCAACAACTTAAATATTTCAAAAGTGGTTAACCACTTGTAAAGAGGCGGAACACACTATACTAGGGATGTGTGTCCCCCAAACTTACATATTTCTGACTCAGACTTTTAAGCTGTCAATATCTCAAAGACAATGCTATTGACATGTACCTGGCACTAGTCCTGCCAGCTAATTTTCCCCCTGGAGAGTGGTTTGGGGCGACAGAGTGGCGTCCGGGTTCCCCAGGTTGCTGCACTGACAAACTGCAGTGGTAGTCAAGTCAAGGAGCCTGACAAAATCTCATTAATCATTCTAAATTAAATCCAACCTTCCTGTCCAACCATGCCAAGAAGAAAGCCATTCTTTTCTTTTTAACAAATGAAAATTTCCTTGGCAAAGATTTGGTATCTTTCTCCCGTGGGCCTTTAATTCGATTAGACAAAAATAAAATAAAGCAATCCACTCTTCTGAGCCTGCAAACAAAACATTTGTCCAGATACGATTTAACAGATCAACCAAGTGTCTTTTAAAAAGAAAACAAATTTTGAATAAAAATACGTAGAAACGTTTTGAGGGGAAACTATACTAGTTAAATTAAGGACACCATTTACCTTTCAGTGAATTTATTTTATTCTACCTAAAACACGTGATCCTTAATAATAGCTGAAAGAAGAAATAAGAAAAAAAATTCATTATCCATAATATTTTGGCACATTTTATTCCAATCTCTTCTTTCTGGTCATAGTTTTTGCTGTTTTACATAGTAATTGTAATGCGTGTCTATGTGTATAATTTAATATCCTTTTAAATATTTACCAGTTTTTATACTGTTTTTCCATATTCTTTATAAATATCAAGGCTTCATAGTAATACATCATGAGAATGTATTTTGCTGTACTTCATCAGTGCTTAGCATAGTGTCTGGTACATAGTATGTTCTCAAGCACAGAAAAGCAGACTCCAGTTAGGACGAGTTATTATTTTAAATATTAAGGCTTCTGAACAAGTTTACTCTCGTTGTACACCATATTAATAATGTAAAAAATGTAAAATATTCATTTAGAGAAGTAACAAGATCAATGATTTAAATTCTTCAAATTAAAAACAAAAACAAAAACAAACTAAAAACAGCCCTGGCTGGTGTGGCTCAGTTGGTTGAGTGTTGTCCCATGCACCGAAAGGTCGCTGGCTCAATTCCCAGTCAAGGCAATGTTCAGGCTGCAGATTCGATCCCTGATTGAGGTGCAACCGATCAATGTTTCTCTCTCCCTCTCCTTTCCTCTTTCCCCAAAACCAATAAAAAACTTATTTTAAAAATAAAACAACATTAAAGCAGTCACTTATCCAAATATTAAAGTTAGAATCCTAGAGATGAATTTACATCTAGAATAATACATAGATTAAATCTGTATTAATATTTTAAAAAATAACGAATGTATTCTAATTTGTGACTTTGTACACCTGAAAGATCTGGGTGTATTTTTTTAAAAATGCAAATAGTAAAGCACTTTTTGATATGCTTCTGTAGAAACTAAATCAAGGCTGAAATAACTCAGTTGCATTTACTGAGAAACTGCCCGTGGCCAAGGAGTGGGTTAAGTACTGGGTGAGACAGAAGGACAAGACTTTCACCTGTTAGAATGAGGAAAGTTGCACTGGAGGGAAAAGCATCTGAGAAGACTTGGAAGGACAAATAGGTAAATCTCATGGAGGGGATACAAGCTGTCCAGATGGGAAAGCAGATCTAATGAGATCAGAGTGTTAGTTTTAACAGAGATTAATAGGGAATATCCTGTTGATAAATTTGGAGGACTGAAACTTTTAAAGCATTTTTCCATTTATCTTTCCTTTTCTTAAAAAAAACAAATCTGTATCTTAGAAAATATAGGTGTCGGTTGTGTCTAGGGTAGATGTACTAGCAGTACCCAGTGGTATGGTGTGTTCTGAGCTTGGAAGAGCACAGCCCTTGATAGGGAAGAAGGTGTAGACAGGACTGAATTGCAGCAGAGCTCAGAATACACACTGAGTACGGAATAGTTGGTCAGAGACAATATAAAAGCCGCTAGCACTTCCGTGACTTCCTACACTCAAAGAACTCAAGTGGAAAAGGTAGATTTCAAAAAAGCTGGAGTGTAGATGGGAAAAACACACACACACACAAAAACACCTAGTTTCTTGGGTTGCATCATGTGCAAAGCTCAACATCCTTCCTGAAACCCTCCTTCCCTAGTTCTTGGGATACTATTCTTCTCTGGTCCATCTCCAGCTTTATTTTATGTATTTACTAACACCTCTGCGCATGAATCCATACACCAGGAGGTCGCTGCCTCTATCCTGTAGCTGTCTGTCCCCTTCCCCTCTCCCTCATAGCTTGCTGCCCTGCCCCCTCCTGTAGCTCTCCGCTGCCCCACCCTCCTGCAGATCCCTGATCTGGTCGTTATGCCCTGAGGCCTAATGGATAATTAGCATATTCCTCTTATTATATAGGATTAATTAATTTATTTATTTATTCTTTATTGATTAAGGTATTACATTTGTGTCCTTATCCCCACATTGCCTCCTCTCCACTCATACATACCCTCACCACCCTGGTGTCTGTGTCCATTGGTTAGGCTTATGTGCATGCATACAAGTCCTTTGGTTGATCTCTCCCCTTTATCCCCACCCTCCTCTACCTTCCCTCTGAGGTTTGACGGTCTGATCAGTGCTTCTCTGTCTCTAGATCTGTTTTTGCTCATCAGTTTATGTTGTTCATTATATTCCACAAATGAGTGAGATCATTTGATATTTATCATTCTGTGGCTTATTTCACTTAGTATAATGCTCTCCAGTTCCATCCATGTTGTTGCAAATAGTAAAAGTGTTTTTTTTTTTAACAGCAGTGTAGTATTCCATTGTGTAGATGTACCACAGTTTTTTAATACACTCATCTGCTG